GCATCGGCAGGCGGACTCTCAAGCACTGCGCCACCAGGGAAGCCCTCTTTTTTTTTTTTAATCACTCTGGTAATACAGTTTGGGAAACCAAGAAGGGTGGGTCCATTCATTCATTTATTCCCAAAATATATATTGAGCATGGTCACGTCCTGGGTACTGGGCTATGGGGGGCAGTACAGTTGTGGTCCTAGCCTGTCCTTCCATCTATATATCTTTAGCCTCTTTCCCATAAGCAGGAGGTCATGGCCACCACCATCCCTCCTCTACTTCCCTCTGTAACTTCCTAGGCCCCTCCCTGCAGCCTCCAGGGACAATCAAGGTGGCGGCAGCCCCTGGCTCTTGGGTTTCTGCAGGGGATTCTGAGAGGTTCTTCCTGGGGAGGGAGGGAGGCAGCCAGCAGGAGCCACGGGGGACAATAGATGCCTTTGTTGCTTCTGCCAGGGCCACTGGAAGAATAGTTGTTTGCTCAGCTCAGTGCAGGACTGGTGCTGGGGTAGGAGGGTGTGAGTCCCCAGAGCTCCAGTGTGGGTGGGGCATTAACCCTCGAGCCTCTGCGGCCTCCTCTACTTTCTAACTGGCTCAGAGGAATGAGGGTGGCAGGAAGCATCACTTATATCTCACTATTGTCAGAATCGAGGCCCTAAAGATTATCCTGCTCTGTGAGTTTATAAAGCAATTTTGTCTAAATAGAGTTGTATGCAGAAACCCATTATATAAGACAAGATGAAATAATGTGACTCTGCTTAAAGGGAGGGTGGGGATCTGGCAGAGGGATCCCCAGCTTTTCAGCACCTCCTCCCTACCCCTTTGTCCAGGCCTGCCCCCTCTGTGCTCCCCAGACTCCGGCCACCTCTGACCTGGTCCCATTCTCTCATTTTACACTTGATGAAATTGAGAGATGACAAATGCCTTGCCCAAGGCCACCAGCAGGTTGATGGTCGAACCCAGGGCTTGCACTAGGGGAATGTTTCCTAGATCTGAGCCTACAACTGCCCAGACTCCCGTAATTTTTACCAAAAGCATAATTCTACCTCTAGTACCATTAACTTAAAATTTTTCTTTAAGCCAACTCTTATTTTTGTTATAACTTTAAGTGGAGATCTTATATGATTACCATAAATGCCCAACCTTTATCAATTGCCATAAAACATAATACATTTAATAAATACATGTCTTCTTTTAAATTGTGCATCCATGTGCCACCTAAAAGCATCTCACATGGGTACCCACACCTCCTTTTGGGATTTGATGCCTGGAACTCCTAAAAGGTTCACCTCTGTCCTGCTCAGCTCCACCCTCTTTGCTGAGTATGTGTGATGTGCCAGCCCTGTGCTAGGCCCTAGAGGAGACCAGACCCTGCCCTTGGGGGCTTACAATCCAGAGGAAGACAGACACCCAGGGTAACACCATGAGGCAAAATGCAGGCACCCCCCGCCCCGTCCCCGCCGAAGAATGAGACATAGGAGGGAGGGGCGGTCATCCTGCATCTTATGGGCCGGCAAGTGGACACTCAGAAGGTGCGAGGGACACACTCAAGACCCCCTCAGCAAGTCAGCGGCAAAATTGGGCTTGAACCCATATCTTTTGCACATGTGCTCCCAATCCAGGGTTTCTACCCAGACTCTGTGCCTCTCCTAATGCTGGATGTGAATGGAGGGCAGCAGACCACAGCCAACAGGTGTCCCCATGATGGGCTGAGGAGTTTAGAAGGGGACAGACAAGAAACAGAGTGGTTCTGGAGCCTCTTTGACAAGCTCCTTCCCCAGCCCTGGACACAGGCTGCCTGACCATTGCCCAGTGGTCTCTCCTGCCAGTGCCCGAGACCAGTGGTCTTTGCCGGTAACTCCCACAGTCTATGGCCTGGATCGAAGAGACCCTGCCTGGGGGCCTCTGCAAACTCACACTCAGGGCCTTGGCCATCTCATCCCAGGGCTCTAAGTGCCAGAGTGCGTTGCTGCACATCTAGACCAGTGGTTCTCAAAGTGTGGCCCCTGGACCAGCGGCACCAGCAGTTCCTGGACACGTGGTAGAAATGCAAATTCTCAGGCCCCACTCCAGACCTACTGAATTTTTCCGAAATGCTGAGAAGGGGCCAGGCAATCCATGTTTCGACAAGCCCTCCGGGTAATGCTTTTACTGCCACTGCTACTGCTCCTGAACCTTGAGAACCACTAGCCTAAAGCTCTCATTCAACCCTGGTCACTGTTTACAACTTCAGCTGCCCCTCAGGCATGCCAGCCAAACTCTCTGGGAATGGGATCCACAAATCTGTAGCCTTCAAAAAAGTGAAGATTTAAACAGCACCCCCTGATGATTCTGATGCCCGATCACAGTGGAGGACTCTTCGGGAGCCCAGGAACACCAGACCTTCAAAATAGCAGATGTGCCTTTGAGGCAGACACTTGTACCTGCATCTTAGTCCCAAATCCCGTAAGAATCCACCTAAATCCCTCTGAGCCCTTTTCAGCCTTTAGGAACCTTCAGATTGGGGGGGGGGCGGGGCGGGGCTGGAGATTTAGCAAAACTGTCAGCCCTGGGTACCTTCCTCCTCTATCTCCCTGTCCTACCTGTTATCTCCCCTTAAGCCAGTGTCTTAATCTGCTTGAGCTGCCGAAACAAAATGCCACAGGCTCAGTGGCTTAAAAACAAAAATTTATTTCTCAGAGTTCTGGAGGCTGGAAGTCTGAGATCAGGGTACCAGCATGGTTGGGTTCTGGTGAGGACTCTCTTCCTGGCTTGCAGCCAGCCGCCTTCTGGCTGTGGGCTCACATGGCCCTTCCTTGGTACACGAGAGATCGCTGTCTCTCCCTCTCCTCCCTCTGCCTCTTCTTACAAGGTGACCAATCCTATCAGATTAGGACCTTACTCTCATGACTTCATTTAACCTTAATTATCTTCTAAAGCCCTATCTTCAATCAGATTGGGAGTTAGGGCTTCAACAGCTGAATTTGGGAAGACTCAAACATTCAGTCCATAGCAAGCAGCTCAAACCAGTTAGTTTTCTGCCCTGAAATCTTGATGGCTTTTCAAGAATTCCAAAGTCATCTCCCTTTCAAGAGAAAACCACTCCAGAACCCCAAGGAATGACTCTCAGAGAGAATTCCAAGCTGTGAAAGCTGTGACAGAAAGTAGGGGTCTTTGTGAAAGAGCCAGCCCACGCTTGCCCCTTGAAGTCCCGAGTTCCAGGCTGCTTCTGTGTGCAAACCCAGCGCTTTGACACCTGCCTCCTCTCTATCAGCCGAGGTCTCCTCGCCTTCAGCTCAGATGCTGGACAGGGGTTGGGAGACAGGGTTCTAGGCCTGGCACTGTCTTTGGAGCAAACTCATTCCTCTGTCTGAGCCTCAGACCTCCACCCATACAGTATCAGGTGGCTCCCAAGCTGGTTGCCTGTCAGAAACACGAGGAAGCGTGTTAAGAATTCAGATCCCCAGGCCCCACCCTGGAACATTCTGACTCAGTGGGTACAGGATTGGCCCAAGGAATCGGCAATTTTTTTTTTACGCCACAAGATGTTTTAATTAGAATACAGTGATTTTTTAAAAATTAAAGTATAGTCAATTTACTATGTTTCAGGTGCACAGCAAAGTGATTCAGTTATATCAGTTATATGTATACATATATGTGTATATATAGTCTTTTTCAGATTCTTTTCCATTGTAGCTTATTGCAAGATATTGAATATAGTTCCCTGTGCTGTACAGTAAGTCCTTGTTGTTTATTTATTTTACATATAGTACTGTGTAGCGGTTAATCCCAAATTCCTAATTTATCCCTTCCCCCACTTAAGGAATCTGTATTTTTAACAAGTGCCCTCTTCACTCCCAGGTGATTACAGTACAGCTGGGTCCCTAGGGAGACCAGGCAGCCTGGGAGTGTCCTTGCAGCCTCGTCCCTCCAGGAGTCTTCTCCTGAAGCCCCTTGTCCCACCTGCCCAGGGATCCCCGTGACCGCCCTCCTCTCTCCCTACAGTGCGGCCCCAGCCGGGGCCCAGACCTTCAGCCTGAAGCACTCGGAGCGCGTGCAGGTGGAGGTGGTGCATGACAGGCAGCCTGAGGAGGTGGCCGCCGACGGCAAGCAGCGCTGGCCTCTCTCGCCCAGCACCACGCTGCGGCTCACCATGAGCCAGGCGAGCGCCGAGGCCAGCAGCGACAAGGTACCATGGTCGGGGAGGCGCCCCTGCGAGGGCCGCGGGAACTGGGGACCGACAGTGCTGGCATCAAGACAGGCTGGACCAGCACTATTGATTGAAGCAGCATGAGGCCCACACGCGTCATTTTATGTTTTCTAACAATCACATTAAAAGAGCAAAAAGAAACAGGGGGACTTAATTTTGATATTTTTTCCTTAACTCCATCATCAAAATATTATCATTTCAACATGATATCAATGTAAAAAAATTAACAAGCTAGCTTACATTCTTTTTTCACATCAAGTCTAAATCTGCTGTGCATTTCACACCTGTAGCACATCTCAATTCGGACTTGCTACATTTCAAGTGCTCAATAAACATCCGCAGCTAGTGGCTATGGTATTAGACAGCCTGTTGTTAGATCATAGAATGATGACTTCATGGCAGGTTAAAATCGTGTGCTGCTGAATGACGAACTATTAGAATCATTGGAAGTTACAGCCACAAACATCCTTGGTCTCATCGTGTATCAAACGGGATGCTGAGCGCCCACGCAGCAAAATGATCTGCCCAAGTGCTGGAGCCGAGACCAGACTCTCTCTTCCCTAAGTTCTCTAATTATGAACTTCACTGTGTGCCCCATGTCAGTGATGGCGCTGGGCGTTATCCAGTAAGAGCAACCTAAGCCCCCTCGTTGCTTGGCGGTAGCTAGACACACACCAAGGCAGATGTGGGGCCCCGACAAGCAGCAGAATGCACCAGGGGGCAGGTCGGCGCCCTGGATGCACTCTGAGAAAAGGGGAGTCCCATATCTAGTTGGATAATCTGAGAAAAACAGCCCACCAACCCAGGAGTGCTTCCTGGAGGAGAGGGTTCAGATGTTTAGAGAGGGTCAGCTTGACAGGCTGTGAGGTGTGAGAGAGGGAGGTGGTCATTGCAGATCTTCCTGCCTGTGATCTGTGATCTCTGCCCTTCTCTCCCTCCCAATGTGTCCCCTCCCTGTCAAGGTCACCATCAACTACTATGAGGAGGAGGGGGTCACCCCCATCGACCAGGCTGGGCTCTTCCTCACGGCCATTGGTGAGTTGACGTGGCTATGGCCTGGGTGCCTTTGTTCCCCAGGGGCTGGCATTGCTGCTCTTCTCAGCGACACTTGGGCTGTTTTCAGTGCTGCTGACCTGGCACTCAGAGCTTCCTCTGAATAATGCAGGCCCGAAAAGTGATGCCACACGTGCCCAGGCCCTTCTGTCCTGGGGTGGGGATGCTGCAGGACGAGGCATGCCTTGGTCTGCCAGCGACTCACCCCAATGTCAGGGTCCACATCGCAGGCTCTGGGGGCCATGGAGGAGAAAGAGCAAAGTCTGTTCCTCTCCCGCCTCTCCCCTGCAGCCTGAAGAGCTTGCCCCTCAAAGCGAGGGGAATGACCTGTCTACAAAACCTGTGCTGTCCTCAACAATCCAAGCTACACACTTGCCTTCCCCAGACCCAGCCCAGGGACACAAAGATGCAGCCTGGGTCCTTAACTCACCTAGTCCAAGCCCTTCGTTTGATTCACAAGGACACTGAGGCCCAGAGAGGTTAGGGAACTAGTTCAAAGTCACACAGCAACTCAGTGGCAGGTTGGGTCCAGAACTCAGGATCATTCCCCTCCTGGGTTCTTTCCATTTGCAATGCACTCCCCTGCCCCGGATGCCAGGGCACATAGGTTGTGGTCTTCTGAAGCTTCATTCACTCGACTCCTCTGCAGTGGAGGTATTACTTTTTTAAATTTTAAATCAGATAATGTTTAAGCCAGGGCGACATTTCAGTGGGTCATTTTGTCCATCCAGCTTCAGTTTCACATTGATAGAGTAGCCACATGTCAGGGGAAGGGAACTACCAGTTACTGAGATTCAACTATGTGCTGAGTGCTTTAAAAATAACAATGTCTATTTTCTGAACACCTGCTCTGTGTCCAGGACTTTGGTGAAGAGGTGGCATTTATTGAGCACCTACAGTGTGCCAGGCTCAGTACTAAGTGGTTTACTGTCATGATCTCAATCTATTCTTACATCTATTCTGAGAATACACACTAGTATTGTCCCCATTTTACAGATGAGAAAAATCAAGGCTCCTAAAAAAAATAAAATGAACAAAAACTTACCTGAGTCCACAAACCCTGAAAGTGGTTTGTGGGACACCCCACCATTTCAATTATCTCACATGCTCCTGGGGTCTCAGAACTGCCCCCACAAAACAACTAGTTCCCAAGCCAGCCCCTCCTTCTCCAACTCTGTGTCTTTAGCCACTGAAATAGGCTCAACAGCACTGCTCTCCTGCTTCTGAGCTTATTCCCAAACGGGCTTGACTGCTGGCCACCTGCCCTTCTTTCTGCACCGAGGGAGTGAGTAGCTGGCCTTGGGGGTGGGGGGTTCCTCAGGACAACCTCAGGGGGCCTTGGGAGATGAAACCCAAGCCTCCCGAGTCGCAGCTGTGGGCTGGCACACGTGTCCACCTCACGGGCACACAGTGCCCCCAGATTGTCTCAGGTGACAGTCCCTGAGGAAACCTAACCCCACAGAGACAAGGACACCTGAGGACATTAGCAGGAAGGGCAGTGGCCAAAGGCCTGGCAGAGAAGGGAGATGCCCAGGGGCTGACGACACCACTAACGAGACTTCCACCCTAAAGCACGGCAGACTCAGGATGGATGGCAAAACAGTGCACTGTAAGGAGGCAGGGCTCTGCTAGAAGACTCTAAGCTTGTGCTCGGAGCAAGCCTGTCAGGGTGCTGCAGGCATGAGAGTCCAGAAGATGCCAAATACACACGTGATAAATGACCAGGCTCATCTGTCTGGGGTTCCAAGGCTGTGCTCTCACTGAACAATGATTTCTTTAACTGCCCCAAGTTCCAGATATTTAGGCTCCATGGGTCAGTAAAGTGTCCCCTCTTCCCCCGCCACCAAAAAATAGTAAGCCTGGCCATTTTGACACTTGGCCAGAAAGAAAAGACAGGAATAAAACAATTTACCATCAATTATCACCATCATTTTAACATTTCAACACCTAAAGAGTGGGCACGGCATAATCTCAGAATAAAAGACAGTCGTTTACATTGCAGAAATAAAGCTTTATGAAAAACTCACCCCTTTGAACTTGTGTTTCCTGTTCCACCAGCAATCCTAGTGAAAATTGGATTTCTTTTGAGACCCACTGGTCTATCTGACCCCTCCGGGTCCCATATTCCCTCAGGCATCTACCCCAGGAGCCCCTGAGCCCCGTGCCCTGAGTAATCATGCAGGGGCAACACCTCAGAGGCAGGAACGCTCTGAATGTCCCAGGATGGTGGGGCTGCCCCCAAGGATGTATCTGAGTCTGTCTCACCCTAGTTCTGTGCTGAGTCCACGCTGAGCCAAAAACATCCCTGACATAAGAGTGGACGATGTTCTGGCTCTGCCTCATCCAGCCACATTGTGACCACCACCCTGAGCCTGTTTCCTCATCTGCAAAATGCGATTCACAGTGCACTCTTGCACAGTGTTTACAAGGGTTCAGTGGGATGGTGCATCCCGAGGGCCTGGCGTGGGCTAGGTGCTCAGTCGATGCTCTTTGCTTTCCTCGCTTCCTCTTGGGGCAGCCCATTTTCCCTCTGCCTGCATGAAGCTGAAGAGCCTTCCTGTGCCTCACTCAGTCTTCCTCCTGGGATTCGAGAACGAAACTATAATGCCCTTGGTCAAATCAGACTGTGGGTCTTGGTCCCAGTCCTGCGAAAAACCTGTTATATGCCCTCCCACTCCAGACCTCATTTTTTATTTTTTATTTTTGGCTGCACCACACAGCTTGCAGGATCTTAGTTCCCTAACGAGAGATTGAACCCGGGCCCACGGCAGTGGAACTGCGGAGTCTTAACCACTGGACCCCCAGGGAATTCCCTAGACCTCCTTTTTCCCAGCTATAAACTCTCCGGAGAGCTGAGGATAACTGCCCTAGTTGGCTGTTGGGGAAGAGAATCCTTCCTTCCCAAGCTGCCCTGTTAGGCAAGTTGGGTCATGGGTCATAAGAGAGAACGTGTTAAGCACCGTGGGAGGTCGGGAGGTGGGCGATAAGGGAGCCCCATTACGCAATGCCTGAATTTCATAACGGGAAGTCAGTGAAACTTGTCTGAATTTAATAAACCAAGATTTGCCTCAGGCAGGTGAGGGGACGGGCTGGACAAGGAACTCCTGGGTTTTTTTAGGAGCTATGTGGTACTCTTTGATTTTTTTTTTTTTTTGCACTGTGCAAATATTACATTGATTTAAAACATTTAATTTAAGAAATTCATAGTGGGGAGTTCCCTGGCAGTCCGGTGGTTAGGGCTCGGCGCTTTCACTGCATGGCCCGGGTTTAATCCCTGGTCAGGGAACTAAGATGCCACAACCTGCACTGCACGGCCAAAAAAAAAAAGTAAGTAATTAAGTAAAGCCCAGTGAAGTGCTTCCTAATTTCTCTCCTGTGCCCCGCTGCTGTCACAGACCACGGGAGCCGCGAGGTGGAACCACCCGGCAGCCTAGAGAACAAAGCCACGCCGCTGCCAGGGTGGGGAGATGGCCAACTTCCCTGAACTTCAGGGGAGCGAGTCCTGGTCTTGAAAGGCAGGCTTGGGTTTTGGAAACAGCCCAGGGTAGAGGTCAGCCTCAGACAGTGGAGGGAACTGCCAAAGGCAGGAGTCTGGAGTCAGAGACCCGAGTGGGACCTCTGGCTCTGCGCTCTCTGGGGACTTCATGGTCAATGCCCTGCTGGGTGCCTCTGTTTCCTCTTCTGTATGGTACGGGTGGCTGGGTGGAGAGGGGGGCAACTGAAGGGAAGACACACATGGGAAGTGCTGTACCGTCCACAAAGGACTATACGCTCAGGAGAGATTGTTATCTTGAAAAGCAAAGAGTGATTCCTGGAGGAGGCTGGGTCTGCAGCTGGTCGCCAGGCAGGAGCTTCAGGAAGCCAGCCTCCCCGAAAGGCAGCGTTCCCTAGGGAGTGTCCCGCTGGAAAGTTCATGAAGGTCTGGGAGCCAAAATCAATATTGTTCCTCCAGGACCTTGTTGTTTATCCATCCTACATATTACAAGTTTACATCAGCCTCTTTAACAGTAGCTGGTGGTGCCACCTTCTTGGCTTTCTCCCTAGAATTCTTATCCTGCACCAGCCTCCCAGCTCATCAGCCCAATTTGCTGACAGGTGACATCTCCAAGTCTGGGTTTGCTCACCTGTAAACTGGGAACAATAATATTTATCTCATAGGACAGGGGGCTTCTTGGGAGCAGGCACGGGGCCCTGATTGCCCACCACTGGTCCCCACGGCTTGTGTGGTGCCTGGAACACAGTAGATGCTCAACAGTGATTTGCTGCGTGAATGGGATCAATGGGAAGTGTTTATTTAACTATTTCCTGTAGCGCCTGACAGTGGGGCTGCAGAGGTGGGAGTGCTGCCTCTCCAAGGACCAGGTGCCCTTAAAGCACCCCCGCTCCTACCTCCTTCAAGACCCAGAAGAGCCACAACCAGGGTTAAGAGGGAATCGGGCTGTGGGCAAAGGGAGGCCCCGAATATAATCCCCCGACTTAGGAGAGAGAGAGAGGAGATGTTTCTGCCACTTCAGGGAGAGAGCACGCCTGCCAAGGAGACTGCCCAGGAATCCGTTCATTCCCACCCAACTCCTACCTTGGTCCAAGTCACGCTCAGCATGAGGCCGAGCCCACTGGGCAGTTCGGGGGCCTGAACCCAGCTTATCTCATGTGTCGCGCCCATCACCTTCCCAACAACTCCCCTGCCCCGCCCTGTCGGTCTGTAACTCAGTGAGCCATGTTGCCTTCCAAAAGACACTTGGCAATATCTGGAGACATTTCGGTTGTCATAGCTGGGGGGAGTTACTGGCATCCAGAGGGCAGAGGCCAGGGATGCTGCTTAACACCCTACAGTGCACAGAACGGCTCCCACAGCAATGAAAACAAAAATCTGGCTCAAAGTGGCAGTAGTGCCCACCATTGCAATTAGGGCAACTCATCTAACTGGAAAGGGCCCCATTTTTCAGATAAAGAAACTGGGGCTCAGAGAAGCTGTCTAACCTGCCCAAAGCCACACAGCTTATAAGCAGAGAACCAAGGTTGAAGCCCAGCACCGTCTGGTACTAAACCTTGGGCTCATTTCAATGCCCCACACGGTCCCCACAGCAGGCCGAGGGATAGAGAAGGTCCCTCCCCCAAGAGAAAGGATAAACAGGGACCCTGCTGTGGATCCTCTATCTGGTGGCCTGGCCTCTTGGGCACCCTCAGATCAAGAGGGGTTGAAGACCCAGTTTCCCACCCGAAGTAAAACACTCAGTCCTTAGAGGTGGGCCCTAGACCACCAGGAGTTCTGGGAGAGAAACGCACACACGTACACGTGTGCACACACACCTAGGGAAGACTAGGAAAGGCAGGTAGGGAATCCTATGAAAGTTTTCAAAATATGAGCTTCGATTCAGACCAGACACAGTGTGTGCTTCAGTTCTGCTAATGCGACCTGTGTGCCCCTGGGCATGTGACTTGGCCTCTCTGAACTGAGGCTCCCAAATCTGTCCAGTGAGGCTCATCCCATCCACCACCCAGAACTGACTGAGGAACAGTAAAGGGGTGAGAGATCCCTGACCCACCTGGCAGCCCCTCCAAGAGCTGCACAGTCTGCACGGTATCAGCTCGTGTTTCCATCCCGCAGTGGGGTGTTGAGGTAGGGCGTTGGCTAAGATGCCCTCAGCAAGGCACTCCCCTTCTGGGAACCAAGCAAATGGGTGAGCTGCACCCTAATCCCACCCTAATCTTCCTCCTGTCCCAGCCCCACCCAGTCTGGCAGGCTCAGCAACTCACCCATGTGTCTGTCCCCAGAGATCTCCCTGGATGTGGATGCAGACCGGGACGGCGTGGTGGAAAAGAACAACCCAAAAAAGGTACCTCGCGGGCTTCCCTGGTGGCGCAGTGGTTGAGAGTCCGCCTGCCGATGCAGCGGACTTGGGTTCGTGCCCCGGTCCGGGAAGATCCCACGTGCCGCGGAGCGGCTGGGGCCGTGAGGCATGGCTGCTGAGCCTGCGCGTGCTCCGCAACGGGAGAGGCCACGGCAGTGAGAGGCCCGCGTAGCACAAAAAATAAAATAAAATAAAATAAAAGAAGATAAGGGGAAAGTATTCAGAGATAGGACCCTTCACGTAAGGAGTTCAGATCTTGGAGCATCTGGATGAAAGAGTTTCAAGCAGGGAGTTACCTGGGCCACTTTAAATCTTACGGTATGGATGGAGCTGAAAAAAAAAAAAAAAAAAAAAGGTACCTCGCTACAAGGGCAGACTGAACGGGGGGCTTCCAGGGCCAGAGCCCAAGGCTGGGTCCCACAGGCAGCCGTGGTCTTCCCAGCAAGCTTCAACACTGTCATTTTACAGATGAGGAGACAGGTTTCCAGACACACACTCCAACGACAGAGCCCACCAAGGAGCAATCTCCTTAGAGGGACAGCTATGGAGCAGGTTCCCGAGTCTCAGTGGCCCCCATCCACAGGATGGGGACACCCAGTTCATAGAGTTGGTGGAAAGGATGAATGTCCTGCCACAAAGTACTGCCAAAGCATTTGCTCTTATTATTTTGCCTTTTTATTTTTTGGACCGTGGGGAGCAGAAGATTGCATTAATCATTCCCAATTCAAGGCACATCATCTTTAATGGTGCATGCACAACCCCTCTCCCGTTTTTAGTTTTTCATTTATTCGTTCACTCATTCATTCATTTGTTCATTCATTCATTCATTTATTCTCTTTGATCCTGCATTCCCCACTCCCATTCTGCTCCCCCACAAAGGAGCACTTCAATGGTTTTAACACATCACTTTCTGTTCTTGTGATTCTTGCGAAACATGCGGTGTGGTTTGCGTGTGTGTATTTTTAACTTGTACAGACAGATAGCATTGTGTTCTCCAAGTCGTTGATTCCTACTTTTTCCTCAACCCCATTTTTAAGCTCTGCTGGTTTTGCTCTATGCACATCCAGGCTTCTATTTTCCATTTTCTGCCCTTGTATGGCATTTAAATTTTTGCCATGGCCATACATTACTTTTTTTTTTGCGGTACGCTGGCCTCTCACTGTTGTGGCCTCTCCCGTTGCGGAGCACAGGCTCTGGACACGGAGGCTCAGTGGCCATGGCTCATGGCCCCAACCGCTCCGCGGCATGTGGGATCTTCCCAGACCGGGGCACGAACCCGCGTCCCCTGAATCGGCAGGCGGACTCTCAACCACTGCGCCACCAGGGAAGCCCCCATACATTTCTTTTTATAATAACGACGTAAAGTCTGGTTTAAATTATATGGAGATGGATACTTTAAAAAGCTAAATAAATACAACCCATTGAGAAGCCTGGGGCCTAGCAGCCAGCTCCAGACTCTCTGCATGTCCTCAGGCCTATAGGGGAGCCCCTTCCCCCAGGCTTCTCAGGGGGCTCTGCCCCAGCCCTGCCTTCCTGACGGCAAGGCAGCCCCACACATATGTTCTCTGTGTCCATGGCCAAGCTACGTGCCAGTAGGCACCACAGAGGCCTCTGAGGCATCCAACCTCCGCTGAGGAGCTGGGGAGTCACCCAGTCCCTGTGGGTCTGAACTTACCCAGGCTTCCTCCATCTGGGCCAGTGAAGTTTCATACGTTCTTTACTCATCCCATAAATATTTTTTTAAATTTTATTGAAGTGTAGTTGATTTACAAAGTTGTGTTTAATTTCTGCTGTACAGCAAAGTGACTCAGTTTGACATATATTATATATGTATAGTCTTTTCCATTATGGTTTATCTCAGGATATTGAATATAGTTCCCTGTGCTATACAGTAAGACCTCATTGTTACCCATCCTATATATAATAGTTCTCATCTGCTAACTCCAAACTCCCAATCCTTCCCTCCCCCACCCTACCTCCCCGTTGGCAACCACAAGGCTGTTCTCTGTGTCTGTGACTCTGTTTCTGGTTCATAGATAGGTTCATTTGTGTCATATTTTAGATTCCACATATAAGTGATATCGTATGGTATTTGTCTTTCTCTTTCTGACTTAGTATGAAAATCTCTAGGTCCATCCATGTTGCTGCAAATGGCATTATTTCATTCTTTTTAATGGCTGAGTAATATTCCATTTTGTGTATATATGTGTGTGTGTGTGTGTATGTATTATGTTTGTTTATTTATTTATTTATTTATTTATACCACATCTTCCTTATCCATTCATCTGTCAATGGACATTTAGGTTGTTTCCATGTCTTGGCTGTTGTGCTGCTGTGAACATAGAGGTGCATGTATCTTTTCGAATTATAGTTTTGTCTGGATATATGCCCAGGAATGGGATTGCTGGATCATATGGCAACTCTATTTTTAGTTTTTTGAGGAGCCTCCATACTGTTTTGCATAATGGCTGCACCAGTTTACATTCCCGGGTAGTGGCTGCAAGAGTCTCATCCTAGGGCTGTCTCTCCAGTGTCCTATGGGGTCTGCGCTGGGGTTGAGAATATCTGTCAGAAGATAGAGAAGACAGCACTGACCTCTCTCCTCGCCAATGCAGGCATCCTGGACCTGGGGCCCTGAGGGGCAGGGAGCCATCCTGCTGGTGAACTGTGACCGAGACACACCCTGGTTGCCCAGAGAGGACTGCAGCGATGAGAAGGTCTACAGCAAGGAAGGTACCACAGGATCCATACTTGAGCTTGGGGTGGGGAGCAGGGAGGAGCAATGAAAGCACTTATGATAAGTCTTGGGCTGGGCCAAGGGTGAGGCAGGTGTGACCTTGGGTCTCCTGAGGATGGTGGACTCAAGTAACCACTCCTGCTAAAAACAGACAATAAAACTATCGATATAGTTCAATTGGAACCATGTTTTTTTCTTTTAAAGTTTTTTTGTTTGTTTTGTTTTGTTTTATAAATTCTTTTATTTATTTATTTTTGGCTGCATTGGGTCTTTGTTGCTCTGCACGGGCTTTCTCTAGTTGTGGTGAGCAGGGGCTACTCTTTGTTGAGGTGCGTGGGCTTCTCATTCCAGTGGCTTCTCTTGTTGTAGAGCAGGGGCTCTAGGAGTGCGGGCTTCAGTAGTTGCGGCATGCGGGCTCAGTAGTTGTGGCTCACAGGCTCTAGAGCTCAGGCTCAGTAGTTGTGGCACACGGGCTTAGTTGCTCTGCGGTATGTGGTATCTTCCCGGACCAGGGCTCTAACCCGTGTCCCCTGCATTGGCAGGCGGATTCTTAACCACTGCGCCACCAGGGAAGTCCCTGGAACCACGTTTTTTAAGAAGTTGTACATATGTAGAAAAAGGAGCAGAAGGAAGTTCCCGAAAGGTTATAGGAAGTCATCTGTAGTGTTGGAGATAACAACTAGTTCTTATTGTTTTTCCTAATATACAGGTTTGGGGTTTGCTTTGTCCTGATTATAAAAGTAACAGGCCAACATTCCAGCCACAATTCTCCTGTTTTTTTAATTAAGATATAATTGGGGCTTCCCTGGTGGCGCAGTGGTTGAGAGTCCGCCTGCCGATGCAGGGAACACGGGTTCGTGCCCCGGTCTGGGAAGATCCCACA